TTACCGGCTCCGGCGGGCTCTCCAGGGAGCGGGCGACCTGAGTGATGGATGGACCACTGGTTAGATTATCTCCCGCAGATGTTTGCTCTCCCGGAGCCGCGGGCTTTCCCGCTAAGTAAACAGACTAAATAGAGTCGTTGGCGGGGGCAGTCCCAGAGGCCCCGGCCTGGAAGCTAGAAAAGGCAGCGCAGCCGGACCTGTGGCCAAAGCGACTTTAGGGGAAGCGTGAGGGCCTGGCGCCCTGGCGAGGGCACAGGGACGGGGTGGGCACAGGTCTGAGTCTCCAGGCTGCGGGGGCTGCAGAGGGACATGGGGACAGGGGAGTGTGGGGGGGGCGGGCACAGAGTAGGATGCACAAGTGGGGAGACAAGGGATGGAGAGGGATGAGGCGGGTGATGAGGGGCTGGGGGGTTGCAGGGGACACGGGGTAGGGGGGTGAAGGTACTCAGGGGTGGGATGCCCAGGTCAGCCAGGAGATGGCTCCGCCCTTCTGGAGGCGGGGCCAAGCCTGGCACTGCTCACAAGCTGCTGTGTCTGTCACTCCAACCGGAGCCCCACCCTGCGCTGCAGACCCAGCTGCATCTGGCCTTGGAATCCCGGGGCCACTGGGGTGTGGACGCCGCCCCCCGCCCTGGGCCCGGGCTGTTTTGCCGGTAAACTGAGCAAATGGGCTCCTCAGCCCCTTCAGCCACCAGGCTCCCTGAACCTGCGGATTTATTACAGCGACTTCCCCACAAGAGGCCTCATTTTCTGCCGTTCCTGCGACTCGCCACTGCTTGAAGGCATGGCCGTTCGTCACTGTTCACTGCGGCGAGGAAGAGCAGGGAGACGGCCTTCCTCAAGTTGGACCGGAGGAAGCTCGGAGAGGTCAACGGGCCAACCCACGGACACACCTTCCCCTGCCCCCCAGGGCTGCCCATCCTTTTGTCAAGACTCCCAGACCCCGTCTTCTGGGGAGGAGAGGCCCTGCTCCGCCAGACACAGAAATCCCCAACCACAGAGCCCGCAGGTGGGACCCTAAGTCCGTCACCACGGAATCCACCCGCCATGCGCTCAGCAGCCCGTCAGCAGGTAGTTAGAGACGTCGCAGCGCACACACCTCCGTCGCTGTGAGTGACATCTGCTCGTCAGTGCGGCCTTCTATTTGGCAAGGAGGCGGAATGAATGCTGCATTGCCTGTCTCTTTGGTCCCGTGGATAAACCCTTTGCCTGTACTCACCTCTCTCTCATGCCACCCCCTCTCTCCCTCCAGAAAAGTGGGGACACAGCCTGATGGGCCCCCAGTGGAGCACCATCCTTAGGTTGCCAGCAGCTCACCCTGTGACCTCGGCCGCCCATCTCGTCACACCCCACATGCCAATAACATCTAAGTTTAGTGGGAGGAAGGGGCGATTCTGGGGTTCAGGGGACAGCGGGGCTGGAGAGAGCAGCAGGAGGAGGTGGGCAAGCCCCCTCCAGGGGCCTGTCCCCAAGTAGCCGGCAGCCACGGTGCCCTGCACTCCGGGGCCCGACACCGGCTCCCTGAAGCTCGGGCAGCCGTGGGCTCTGGTCTGCTCGGAATCTATGGGGAGAGGGACCCCTGTGCCCTCAGATGGGCTCCCAGCATCTGTGTGGAGGGGAAGCCCACGGGCAGCTGGGACGTTGGAACAGGGCCTGGCCAGCGGGCACCTGGCCCCCAGCCGTGCGCAGCGCTCGGGAAAGCCCTGGACCACGTCGGCCAGCGCCAGATGGGCTGCCACTCACAGAGGCGGCCGCAGGAGGACAGAGAAGGTGCTGACCTCGTCCTCCTGTCAGCCAGTGTCCAGCACCTGCCCCTCACCACCCGGGACCCTAGACTTGACCTCTGGCCTACTGCCTTGACCCTTGCGCCCAGCCTGGATGACAGACTGCCCCTCCCACCATAAAGGCATCACCTCTGACCCCCCGCCAGTCCGCCCCCCTGTCAGCAGCAGGCCAGCCAGGGCGGGACGGGCAGGTCCCGCGTTCTGGGGGGAAATGAAGATTTCACATTCGCTCTAGAAGTGGAGGCTGGAGGCAGCTGCAGGTCTATCCTGGGGGTGAGGGCACCGTGGTTCCCGCGTCAGGGCGGGGGGGTGAGGGGGGACCTGCTCGTCTCCCCGCGACCTCAGATTCCTCATGAAAATACAAACTCGCTCCGGCGGCAGGACAGGGGAGGGAGCGCCGGGACCTACGTCCCCGAGGACAGCGGCCTCAGGCGCCCGGACAGTGGGGCTGGGAGTGGACACGTCCCAGAATCGGCTCAGAGAGGTTCCCACGGGGCAAGAACAAGGTCAAAGGTCACCTGGCAGAAGCCCCACAGGAGGAACCCCAGCAGGAAGTGTCTCCCAGGGCAACGGCTTCTCCACATCAGTGTCTCTGGGGTTGAACATGGTGAGAAGGGTGGTCCCGCCCCTCATACATAGTCAGCCCCGCCCCTCATACACAGTAAGCCCCGCCCCTCATACACAGTCAGCCCCGCCCCTCATACACAGTCAGCCCCGCCCCTCATACACAGTCAGCCCCGCCCCTCATACACAGTCGGCCCCGCCCCTCATACATAGGCAGCCCCGCCCCTCATACATAGGCAGCCCCGCCCCTCATACATAGTCAGCCCCGCCCCTCATACAGTCAGTCCCGCCCCTCATACACAGTCAGTCCCGCCCCTCATACACAGTCAGCCCCGCCCCTCATACACAGTCAGCCCCGCCCCTCATACACAGTCAGCCCCGCCCCTCATACACAGTCAGCCCCGCCCCTCACAGTCAGTCCCGCCCCTCATACACAGTCAGCCCCGCCCCTCATACACAGTCAGCCCCGCCCCTCATACACAGTCAGCCCCGCCCCTCATACATAGTCGGCCCCGCCCCTCATACACAGTCAGCCCCGCCCCTCATACACAGTCAGCCCCGCCCCTCACACACAGTCAGTCCCGCCCCTCATACACAGTCAGCCCCGCCCCTCATACACAGTCAGCCACGCCCCTCATACACAGTCAGTCCCGCCCCTCATACACAGTCAGCCCCGCCCCTCATACATAGTCGGCCCCGCCCCTCATACACAGTCAGCCCCGCCCCTCATACACAGTGAGCCCCGCCCCTCATACACAGTCAGCCCCGCCCCTCATACACAGTCAGTCCCGCCCCTCATACACAGTCAGTCCCGCCCCTCATACACAGTCAGTCCCGCCCCTCATACACAGTCAGCCCCGCCCCTCACACACAGTCAGTCCCGCCCCTCATACACAGTCAGCCCCGCCCCTCATACACAGTCAGCCCCGCCCCTCATACACAGTCAGCCCCGCCCCTCACACACAGTCAGTCCCGCCCCTCATACACAGTCAGCCCCGCCCCTCATACACAGTCAGCCACGCCCCTCATACACAGTCAGCCCCGCCCCCATACACAGTCAGCCCCGCCCCTCATACACAGTCAGCCACGCCCCTCATACACAGTCAGTCCCGCCCCTCATACACAGTCAGCCCCGCCCCTCATACATAGTTGGCCCCGCCCCTCATACATAGTCCCGCCCCCATAGTCAGCCCCCGCCCCTCATACAGTCAGCCCTGCCCCTCATAGTCGGCCCCGCCCCTCATACATAGTTGGCCCCGCCCCTCATACATAGTCGGCCCCGCCCCTCATACACAGTCAGCCCCGCCCCTCATACATAGTCAGCCCCGCCCCTCATACAGTCAGCCCCGCCCCTCATACATAGTCGGCCCCGCCCCTCATACATAGTTGGCCCCGCCCCTCATACATAGTCAGCCCCGCCCCTCATACATAGTCAGCCCCGCCCCTCATACACAGTCAGCCCCGCCCCTCATACATAGTCAGCCCCGCCCCTCATACATAGTCAGCCCCGCCCCTCATACATAGTCAGCCCCGCCCCTCATACATAGTCGGCCCCGCCCCTCATGCATAGTCAGCCCCGCCCTTCACATGTAGGTCTGCCCAGAGGGCGGCCCCTCCCATGAGGACTCTGTGGGATGTCCCAGCTCCATCCACCCACCAGGTGCACAGAGAACCGGGACAGTTTGGCTGAACTTTTCACGTCAGGAGTGAGGGCGGGAGGGGCCTGGCCGGACGTGAGCACACGCTCCGTGACTCTGACACTGAGGCGGAGCGTGCTGGCTCATCACTCCCGGGCCGGGAGGCGCCCCTGACACTGTCGGGGTGCACGCAGCACGCGCTGCCCGCCGCTCTGCCTGGGGCTTCGCCGCAAAGATGCCAAAGGAGAGCAGGACCGTCTACTGAAGACGCGCTCCTGGCCCAGCTGCCGCGGGGAGTGTGGCCTCTGTGTGTATCATGCGTGTGCACCGTGCATGTGTGTGCGTGTGTGTCATGTGCACCGTGCATGTGCGTGCTCAGGCATGGCCCACTGGCTAGAGGCTGAGCTGCCTGATGACTGGCAGGCCACAGGTTTGGGAGGCGATGTGAGGGCGTGGTCCCCTCCGCCGCCGGGCAGCGGGCAGCCGGCAGCCTCAGGCAGGGACCTGCCCGTGTGTCCTCTCCTCGCCGGTTCACTCTCGGGACCTCTTAGTGCTCATGCGTGTCCCGCATTCGCCCGTCATGCACAGAGCACGGGCGACGGCCTCGCTGACACCTCCTCGCGCCTGATGGGCGGGCGGCGTGTTCACCGCCACGAGGAGCCCTTTGGGAGGGTGCGTGCACGAGGCACGGCCGGCGGCCGCAGCCACCTGGGTCCCTCCCCCTCACTCTCGCGGGGCAACCCAGGGGCGACAGTGAGAAACACCTGCGTGTTCTTAGCGTCAGCACTGCCTGGCCGCCGTGTTCCCGCAGGTCGGGGCCCTGCCCGCTCTCAGCTCAGCTAACACGACGAAGGCAGCCCGTCCTAATGACAGGGACACCCCCATCTGTGCCCGGGCAGCCCACGGACATGACACGCAGGATGGTCCACGCCGCCTGCCCGGCCGCCGCCCGCCCGCACACCCGCCCGTTCAGGATGCCCACGACGCAGGCCCGGAGGCGGAGCAGCTCTCCTACCTTTTGGACGCAGCCCTCCTGCGGCGACACCTCCGCCTCGGTCAGCATTTGCTGCAAAACAACATGGAAAGGGGGTGAGTTCCAGACTGTGCGGCTCCCAGGCTCCGCGGCCGCACATCGAGTGGGGCCAGTCGCGTGTTCTCTGGAATAACGAGCGTGCGGCCCGACGGCTTCTCCCCAACGTGAAGGGCAGCGCCCTGTGGAGAGCGGGCTCCTCCCTTCTCCCCAGTGTGCTGAGATGGTAAGGAGCCCCCCGGGATGTCACCTCCCTGAAGGCAGTGGGTCCCACAGGGACGGAGCCACCCCGTGTCGCTCACCCTGGGCCCTGAGACACGGGGCAGAGACCTGCACGCGTTACTAGAGCCAGCTCAGCGGGGACACGGAGGTGCTTGGAGCCGTGTCATGGGCCCTCCTCGCTCCCTTTGAGCTCCACCAGCAACGTGGGCTGTGTGTGGGGGTGACTGTGCCGCCGGGAGCACCTGGAGGGGGACAGCTGGGTCCCGTGGCCACACAGACACCGGCCTGGGGCGGCGAGGGGGAAAGGCCAGCCACGCTGGGTTTCCTCGCAGCCTGGACTTGGCGCTGTCCCGGCTGGGCTGGGGCAGCTGTCGCCTGTCGCCTGGCAGGCGTCTCCTGAAAACCACCAGGTTCCACCCCAGAGGGCAGCGTTTCGGGGACGGTCCCAGGCGCTTTCTAGGCTAAGCACACAGACAGCTCAGCGACACGGTGAGGTTTTCCCTTCTGGAGCCAAGCACCGCGCGGACGCACAGAAACTGGACCGTCACCCCCCGAAAACTGCAAACCGGGGCTGAGACGGACATTTGAGAAACGGGGTCCATCCAGGGATGTTACTCCCCTGAAAATTACGCTGCTGCCTTTGCAAGGTCCGAGCGCAGAGTAGAGCGCCTGCCAACACCCACCAGCACCCTTCAGCGCCCGCCAACACCCACCAGCACCTGCCAGTGCCCTCTAGTGCTTGCCAGCGCCTGCCAGGGCCCTCCAGTGCCCGCCAGAGCCCTCCAGTGCCCGCCAGTGCCCACGTGGGCAGGTGTGAGGACCGGAAGCTGCGGTCCAAAACACGGGCGCATTTTCCCGGGCTCAGCTGTAATAACACGAAATCATATTTGTAAAATGTTGAGAATTCTAACCAATTGGGGAGTTTATGTTTCTTTTAATAGATTCTGAAGTTGTGGTTTGGAAGGTGACTCCAGCGAATAAAGGGAAGAGGGAGGAGGGTGGGCAGTGCAGAGGGAGGCCGGACGGTCCCCAGCGCAGCTGCGGAGACAGGGGTGCGGGGCCCTGTCCCTGCCAGGCTGGCGCTGGACGGGCCGTGGAGATGGGCCCGAGGCTGGAGCCGAGGTCAGCAGCGGGCGGCCGGCCTTCCTGCTTTCGTCTGCCTGGTTTCCACTCCACATCCCTGGGGCTGACACCAGCCCCGGCCCCCAGCCGCTCCTCGGCCGCTGCTCCTGGCTCGAGGGGTCTCTCTGGGTCCCTAAGAAGTCAGTGCCACCCACACAGGTGACACTGTGAACCTGCTCTTAGCCTCTGGTCAGCACCGCCTTCCTCACCCACACAGCTCGCCCCTCGCCCCTCGCCCCTCGTCCCCCCGCACCGCCCTGGAGCCCGGCTGGGAGCTGGATGGCCCAGTGGCTGAGCGGGGTTCACTGGCCTCTGGTTGGGCCCCGCCAGGAGGCCCCTCCTCTTCCGGTGGGAGGAAGACTCATTGGAGCGTCCAGGCCAGAGCCCACGTGCAGGCCATGGTCCCTGCATGTCCCCATCGCTCCCTGGAGGTCGTCAGCACTGCATCCCCAGACCCCAGCCCGCTGGTCCCCAGCACAGGCCTCACTGGACCCTGAGGGGGAGCCGCCCTCTAGGGGAGCGCCTGCTTCCTGCCGTGGTCCCGCTGGGGCTCCACGCTGACTCCGGTGGCCGTGGCCTTCCCCTCCCCCTCCCCGTGGCCCATTCGTGGAGAAGGCAGTTGTGATAACTGAGCAGGTTTGAGGTTTGCAGGCCAGTCATGTCAGTCGGCCTGCCTGTAGCATAGGGGGAAGAGGGCTTATGGCATGGCCGGAGGGATGGGGGGCCAGGGGGAACCAGGGGGGACATGGGGGACCAGGTGGGGCCAGATGGACTGGGGGACCAGGGGGGACCAGGCAGGACCGGGGGGGACATGGGGGACGAGGTGGGGCCGGATGGACTGGGGGACCAGGGGGACCAGGCAGGACTGGGGGGGACATGGGGGACCAGGTGGGGCCAGATGGACCGGGGGACCAGGCAGGGCCAGGGGGGACCAGGCGGGGCCGGGAGCTCCCGGGCTGTCCTCACTGTGCCTCTGAGCCGGGCCCCGGCTCCCTCAGGCCGTGGGCGTGGATGTGGGCAGTGTGTCCGCCTGAGGCACCTCTACAGGGAGGACCAGGTGGCCAGGAGGCCCCCCCAATCTCGTGATGCGGGAGAGGCAGGCGTGAGGCCCCAGTGCCCAGTGCTCTCCCAAGAGGAAGCTGCAGAGTGACCTTGACGTGTCCCTGTTCCGGAAGCTTCTCTCGCCTCCCTCTCCCCGGCGCCTTGGCAGGTATGCTTCTCGCTGCCTCTGCTCTTCACCCAGCGCTGACCTCGGTGGACACGGCCGGACGCGCCCCTCTGGAGCCTGCGAGCCCGCCTCCCCCCGGGGCTGCGCGTCGCTGAAACGCCTCTTTATTCTGCGGCCGAGCCCTCGCAAGCCTCGGGGCCGGCGGGCGCTGGCAGAGGCTGCGGCTGCTCTCAGCCCGTCCCGGCCCCGGCACAAGTATTAGGTGTGCTTTGATTTAGCATTTTAGCCAAAAGAGCGAGGTTTGACCTCCGGCATTTCGCTTCTCTCGCGGTCTCGGTGCCAGGACTGAACTAAGTGGAGTTGGGCAAAATGTCTTTCCTGACCCTTAAAAATAAATACCCTCTGTTCTCCAAAGAGCCCGCGAGCGCAGACACAGCCGTCTCGTGCGCTCACGGCTCTGGGCGCTGGCGTGCGCCCCGGGCTGGGCTTTCTGCTCGTGTCACAAATGGATCCCAGAAGGCTCTCTCCTCCCAGAACCTGTTATTACGGGATCTGCAGGCATCGCCGCGGGAGGAGCCCGCCGGGCCGGCCTCTCAGCTTCCTAACCAGACAGAAGTGGGCGAACCCCCACCCCCACCCCCAGTCTGTCCTGTGGTCCCAAAATCACCAAACGCCCGTGGTCACCGACCTCTTGCCCTTGGCCTTGGAGCCCAGACCTCTTTCTAACCTGTGTCCCCCTTGTCCACCGCTGACGTCACTCCCATGCCCAGAGCTGGGAATCATGGCCTCTGAGTGGCTGACCGCTGGCCATGGTCGGGGGTCAGTGCTGTCTGGGGGAGTCCTTGGGGGGTCAGGAGAGGACGGCCGGGTCCCCAGGGCGGATGGAGAGCCCCTCCCGCTGCCGTCTCTGAGCCTCACTCTGCTGACTCGGGGGGGCCCGGGGGCCATGGGGGCTCAGGGGCTGCTGGAGACACAGCCTGAGCGGAGGGGACAGGATGGGCCGGTGGGCAGCTGCCCTGGACCCCACGTGGCCTGCCCTCCGAGGACGGGGTCATGCCCTGAGCAACGCCTGCAAATGGGCCTCAGGAGCTGACGACCTGAACTCCGGCGGCTTCAGGCTCCTCTCGGCCTCGACAAAACATGTCCACAGCCCACATGTGCACAAAGCTACACACATGCACACAGCCCACACATGTCCACAGCCCACGCGTGCACCCAGCCCCACGCATGCACCCAGCCCTAACACATGCAAACAGCCCACACGTGCACACAGCCCCACGTGTGCACACAGCCCCACGTGTGCACACAGCCCCACATGTGCACACAGCCCAGACGTGCACACAGCCCCACACGTGCACACAGCCCCACACATGCACACAGCCCCACACGTGCACACAGCCCACGTGTGCACACAGCCCCACACGTGCACAAAGCCCCACACATGCACACAGCCCACACGTGCACACAGACCACACGTGCACACAGCCCCACATGTGCACCCAGCCCCACACGTGCACCCAGCCCACACGTGCATACAGCCCACACGTGCACACAGCCCCACATGTGCACACAGCCCCACACATGCACCCCCACGCACGCACACAGCCCCACATGTGCACACAGCCCCATGTGTGCACACAGCCCCATGTGTGCACACAGCCCACACGTGTGCACAGAGCCCCACGTGTGCACACAGCCCCACGCGTGCACATAGCCCCACGCGTGCACACAGCCCCACACGTGCACACAGCCCCACACATGCACACAGCCCCACACATGCACACAGCCCCACGCGTGCACACAGCCCCACGTGTGCACAGAGCCCTACACGTGCACACAGCCCCATATGTGCACACAGCCCCACTTGCGTCTCCTCCCTTCCTGGAGTCTTTACAGAACAATCCTCATCCTTCATTTTGGGTCCAAACCAGAGTCCGACCATGACTGCCCCTGGCACTGGTGTAAACATGGCACTTCCTTCGTGAAAGCAGCAGTCGCCATGGTGACGTGATGATGACACGGGGGTGGGGGGCTGTCGGGGCCACGAGGCGGGGCCTGTCCCGGGCACGTCGCAGGTGGCTGTCTCTCCTTCTCAGGACAACCCATCAGGGCAGGAGGTGCTCTGACCCCGCCTCACAGACAGGAGACAGGCTGGGGCGTCGGGGCCACGGGGCAAAGGTCAAGGAGCTGCCAAGTGGAAAAACCCAAGTTCAAATCCAGGCTCCGCACGCCGGGCTTCTGCTCTGGGGGCACCCGGGGCCGCTGGGCGTGTCGCGGAAACAAGCCGCACGGCGCCCCTTCCGACCGGGACTCGCACCTGAAGCCCCGCCAGGCCCCCCGGGCCGGGCTGCGCCCTGAGCTCGCGCCGAGCTGGGCGCCTTCCCGCTGGCCGCCGCGGGCACAGGAACCCCGAAGGGCTTCAGTCACCCCGGCCGCTGGCTGCGCGGCAAAGGCTCCCTGGTGTTGACACAAACTCTTGGGCTCTGGGCGGGGCGGCGAGATTTGTTTATTTTCCGCATTAAAA